GGGGGGGGGGAAGAGATCATGAAATGCACAGTTGTCACAGTCACATGTGATCACTGAGACAGAAACATGGTTCACACTCAACTTAAAGGTCCACAAGATATGCAGGGAAGCAGTACCAGCTCTGATGGATGAGAGCAGAAAAGTATTTCAATTTGCATTTTGATGTCTTCAGCTGCACTTCAGCTGCTGAAAGATATATTGGGAATGAGCAGGCATCAGAGTAGTCTCTAGCTCAGAGGGAAATTGCTCCCAAAAATCAAATTGTGATTTATTTGTGAGCAGCGAGTAATGAGGATATTTCCTGTGAAACTCCTTTGCTCTGGTGAATGGCAGTGGCTACACCCTCTAGGCTGCACTGCTGTTTCTCCTGGTCTGCTCTGTCACTCTGCTTTGGCTCCAGCAGCCCCTGTGAGAGGCCCAGTAGGAGCAGAGCAGGAAGTTCTCCTGGACAAGGGCTTCATCCATAAATACCACACCACTCTGAGGAAATTTCAGTGCCCACCTCCACACCCATATGTGAACACCAGCAATTCCAGACCATGCATCCTGGCCCCAAAGCCCACTTCCACATGGCTAAGGAGAGTTGTCTGAAGACACAGGCAAGAGCTGCATACTTTTAGTCCAATACATGGCATTTCTTTCGACAGAAGATTGCATGGTATCCTGCAGTGCTGGCCATCCTGGCAGGCTGTTGGGTTTGCAAGCCACCCTCAGCCATTTCACGCCTGGCTGCGCACTTGTTCCTCACGAGCACTTGCTTTGGGGGATGAGGGCCCCCTATCCCACGCCCCAGGAATCACACATCTGTGTGATTTATATGTGCATTTTACACCACGTATGGGATACATATATGTAATGTAGCCATGGCCCTGCCCTCCCCAGATGACAACATCGCAGCGCAAACATCACGGCATCACTGATGCCAAAACACAAACACCATAAAACAATCATCACGCTGTTGGGGCTATAAACATCACAACATCAACCCGGACCCTAACAGCCTTAATTCATTCCTTTAGGCAATGCTCCAGGAAAAAATGACAAAAAAAAAGAGGGGAGAGAGAAAAAAAGAAGGCAGGAAGGTGGGTTGGTGGCACATGCAGGTGGGGAGTGTGGGCACCCAAACAGCCCCCTCGGCCTGGGGTCCCCAAGGGGTATCTGCACTTTATTAAAACTGGCTCTTCTCATCCCTGATTCATGCATCTCAAATCAGGATGAAATCCTGTAACCACATTAGTCAATCCAGACAGATTCGTCCATTACTTAATGCATTACTCAGATTTCAGTAACAGAAGGTATGTGATCTAGAGTCAAGTTCTGTTATGCTTGGATGAAAATAAAAACACTAAAAAAGTTCGTGGTAACTGCACCTGTGAGACAAGATTCACTGATTTTGGGAATGATGGCTGTGAGTTTTCTAGCAAGTAATTTTAAAAATACATGTCTCTATTTACATTAACATCTTTATTTTGATGATCATGTGAAAGGCCTAATTGACTAGCAATGAGCTACCTCTGTCTACAGAAAGGAAAGGGACATTTTCCTCATCATTATTCCAACAACTAGGTTTGGTCCTGTCCAGTTTTTCCTACAGTAGCAGGATAGCACCGAGGATCTATGGCTGTTCATTAGGAAACAAAAACAGACAGCAGAAAAGCCAAAGGCAAGAAAATCATGCCCACTATTTCACTGTCCAATCTGGAGAGTGAGAGAGGAAAAAAACAAAGTCTATAGCTGAGTGTTCCAATTTCAACTCAAATTTATCTATCAGAGCTTGTGTGGGCAGGAGCATAACTTACTTTTTTTGCCAAGAAACATCTCCCAAAGGTTGCACGTGATTTGAAAACAAAGAAAACAAATTTCAAAAAGGTAACAAACCTCCACTGCTCCTCACCCACTCTTGGTTTGACAGCCAATTTGGGCTTTAGTGCATCCCTTGAGTCATCCTCCATGGTTCTCAGCAGCATGATTGCTGGCTGTTCCCTGTGGCCACTTTGGCTGGAGGTATCCCTGCCAGAGGATAGAGAGGTGTTTGGAGCTTTGCTGTTGCAGCTCAGGAAGTCTCCTGGGCCTCTCATGCTATGTCACCAAGGACAGAACCAGATACATGAAGACAGATGTTGTTTTTTCAGTGTTGCTGTCCTGGTTCCTGCCCTGGCTTCCTTATCTCTCCTCTCCAATCCAGCAGGACAGCAGCTCTTAGGCACTCTCTGAGGGTGAAGGGAATGAGATGCTTCTGGGGACTAGGTAGTACCTTAAGGGACTCATGCAGGGCAGGAGGAACTCCCCTAATCCTCAGCACCTTAGCCCAGCTGTGCAGTGCTGCTCTTCCAGGGGCATGCTAGGAGGGAATCTGATAAAATCTAAATCAGAGCTAGAAGTCCCCTGAGTCCCACCAGTATTCACATGCCTTGAGAACCCTTCATCCTACCATCCCCTGCACCCAGCTTGGCACCTCCCCTGCTGATCTAGTCTGCTCTGGCCCACTTGTGGGGACTAAATGTTTTGCTTACCCCAGGTTCAAGACATCCCTTGCAGTTGATCCACACTCTTCTTGTTCAGTATAGATCAAATCAAAGAGCACATGGATTAAATGAGAGAAGATGATCAACACTGATAGCAAGAAGTAACCCTGAGGTCATCATTATACCAAATAAACACCTACACTGTGTCTCCCAAATATAGCTAAAGCCAGGAAGTCTGCTGGAGCTCAGCTCCATCTTTCATCCTCTCCCTCATCCTATCACCCTCTCCTCAGCATGTTTGCGGGCATTGGGCAGAGGAATTCAGCACAACCACACCCTGTGATCCTGGATTCTGACCTCTTCTT